TTATTTTTGTTTTGAAAAAGAAGAAAGAGAGAAATAATGTTTGGAAAGGAGAGATGTATTCAGAGAGAGAGAGAGAGAGAGAGAGAAAAAGAGATGCAAATATTGGAGAGAAAAACAGTGGGTGTATGTATATGAAAAAGGAAAAAAAAATTGGTTAGAGAATTGAGGTGAAAAGAGGTAACTGAAAACGACTGACAAATTTCCCTTAAGAAAAGATTCATGAAGAAAAAAAAAAAAAAAAAAAAAAAAAAGTATGATAAGTGGTTGAAGTAAATATATCTCGCTCGCACACACACACTTGAGGGGGTGGTGAAAAGTTCTCATTCTGACCCCCCACCCCCATTTCCAAGATCCACATTATGATACTGATTTGAAAAGTGGAACAAATCAAAAGTTTTTCAGCACCTGCTCATATATAAAAGAAAAAAAAAAAAGTGTGTGTGTATAGGTTTTGTAGATAAAGATAAAAAAATAAAAATCTAGAGAACAGGAATATATCTTATTTAACACCTGCAAACATAAGGGTTAAAATGGCAGCATAGGTAAGCACGCGTGGGGGGGGGATATGCCCAATTTTATAGGAAAGGGACAAAAAATAGAGAGGGTGTTAGACCTCTCTGCAAACATCAAGCCAGAAAAAGGAAGGTCCAGGTGGGAGGTATTGGGCGAATGCAGAGAGATGGGGGGGGCAAACGGTGTGTGTGTGTGATGAGGTTAGACAAGTCTGGCCCATCCACAAACTAAAGACAGATACAAAAAAAAAAAAATTTTTTTTTTTTTTTTTTTCCTAAGCTATTAAATGGTCAAATAATTTGATGAATGTCATCTTCCTATATTAGATACATATCTGACAAACAAGCACATTGCATACAAATATATATATATATATATATATATATATATATATATATATATATATATATATACACACACGAGACAGATATTTGCTACATATATCGCAAGTATAAAGTAAAATAAGACGTGAGAAGAAAAAAAAAAAAGTTAGTTTTTTTTCCCTTTAGGTGGGGAGCAGGAAAGGGGTAACAATTTTAATTTCTTTCACTTTTCTTATCATTGCACTTTAATTAAATAATAATAATTTAAAAAAATGTGCAATTTTTGTTGTTTTCAATTTTTTTATAAAGATTTTATTACCCCCAACATTTCTTAATATAATTTTAAATAACAAAAAAATGCAAGTGTGAAAATTACATCATTCGCCTTATTAAAAAAATAAATAAATATGTTTATTAAACACTGAATACAAACACAAATATTACCCCCTTCCCCACACCGTCTTGCTGTCCCAGGGAGAAAGGAGACAAAACAGAAAAGTGCAACATAATAATTGATCACTGAATGAATGGAGATTGGAAAAACTGAAGCAAAAACTGCCAAATGTGTGTCCGTAGGAGATATTTGAATGTTGCGTCTTTTTAGCTTTTCTTTTCAGGCTTTCATTTTGGAAATCGTTTGTTTTCTTTTTTCACTGTTTATTTCTTGTTTTTGTTAACCCTCATCCACCCATTTCTTTGTGGGTGATAGGGGCTTTCTTTCACTTTGAATCTCCATGCCCCTCTTCGCCAATCATTTACATATTTAGGTTAAATTTTATATAGTTTTTTCATATTATTCCAAAATTCTCTTTCCTTAAAACGTCCCCTCAACTCTGGCATGAAGAAGTCAGAAAAACAATCAGAAAACAGTTGAGCATTTTTCAAAATTTTTTTACATGGAAAAAAAAAAAATAATTAAAAAAAAACTCTTTCCCTACTGGACAAAAGGAAAACAAAAATCAGAATAAAAAAAAAACGTTAAAAAATATATATATATATATATATATATATATATATATATATATATATATATATATATATATATATATATATATATATTCTTTTTTGATGATTAGTTTTGTCAATTTTCAAGAATTTAAAAGAACTTCTTGTCTTCAACAGCAAGTTATTTTTTTGTTTTTAATTAACGAAAAAGAAAAAAAAAAAAAAAAAACACATTCATCACCATTACTTTTTCCACCATCATTAAATCTGCCTAAATGATTACTCCCACCCCCAGTGATTGGGGTGGGACGGAGGAATGAAGGTCCAGGGCTTCTCGTCAGAGAGATATTCTATTGGGAACTGGGGACAATTAGTTAACCCCTTATTTTTTTTTTTTGTTTCCTTTTTAAACCTTTTTTTTTTTAAATATTCAAAGAAAAAAAAAATTACGATTTTATAATGTTTTCTTTTTTGTTTAATACCTTACTAAACTCATCATTTACAGTGTTAATATATGCTTTTTATATACATATATATATATATATATATATATATATATATATATATATATATATATATAAAATTACTATTAATACAGAGAAAAGGAAAGACAGAAAATTACATTTTTTTTTTTTTTAAATATTTTCTTTTTTGATTAAAAAAACCTGAATAAATAAAATAAAAGAGAAACAGATCAGAAATGAGTTTCACTTAATTGCTATTCACAAGGGAGACTAAAGCACAACAGAACGAATCGGAAATATATTGAAGAGAATAAAAAGATTATTATTATTAGACAGTTGTCAAAAGAGTTTTTATCAACATAGGGAATAGATCGGTCGATAACGTTTAGATTTTGCTTGTCAAATATTCTACATCCATTTGCACAGAAATGCACATGCATATACCTATATATGTGCACTCGTGCACTTGCGTTCATCTGAAGTTTAGGTATGTATAGAGAGTAAGATTTGAATATTTGGGTAGGGAAAAGTATGTCAAGGAAAGACAACAAGGAAGATTAATGGTGAATAGTGTGTGTGTGTGTGTGTGTGTGTGTGTGCGTGTGCTCATAATGAGAGAGAGAGAGAGAGAGAGAGAGGTAGGGGGTAGATTTTCAGTTTTTTAAAAGAGGAACATCGTTGGCAGCCAAGTCTCAGTGTTATCCACTTTCTGTAGTTTCCGTAAAGTGTTTATGTGTGGTTTTTGTTTTACTGTCCTTAAAACGTTGAAGAATTCATCACGACAACAACAAAGAGGGCTGGGGGGGTCAGGCCACAATGGCTGGTGGTGTTGTTGTTGTTGTTGCTGCTGTTGTCTGAGTAGTGCATGCAATTCTGTGATGGGAGGAGAGGGCAGCGGCAAATGGGGCAGAAAGGAAGCCACACCTCTTAGCGACACTCCCACACCTTGACAGTCTGGTCCACGCTGCCAGATATCACGAATGGTGCCGTCTTGTGCATGTCTGCAAAACAGAGGAAAAGAGAAAAAGGTCACAGATCAACACAAGGTCAACCTTTTCTTCAATAAAATTCATATATGACAACTAAACACCTATGTACTCTAGATATGCTTGATTTATGCTTATCATTCATATCTAACTGCAATATGAGAAACAAATCTACATTATTTACATTATTTGGACTATTGTCCTCATCTTTGTCGCCATATTTATCACAACGTTTTGGCTGTTGTACACTCCGGCCTTCTTCAGGTGGTTGGAATGTCGAACTGAACCCTTTATTTCACTCACCGGGGTAGACTGTTCTAGTTCCACGTGCCATGTTTGATGGATGTCAGTTATCAGTTATCTCCTTTTAATTTCCCTCTGGCCTTAACCGGGTATTGAACTCACTGGATCTAACCAACGCCTTTATCCACTGTGCCATGTGTACTTGAGGACATCTGGGTATGAATTTCTGGGTATTATAAACCTAATGTCTTCAGCAACCATTTTTACCAGTGCTCATATTGCAATTTTGCTGTTGTCAGTCCATGTCTTTACCAGAGCTCATATTGCAACTATGTTGTTATCATTGCTTTTCTCTGGCACTCCTTATTACTGGTTCCCATATTGTATTTATTTCTATGCTTGGTCGGCTCAGGAGATTTTTGTGGCCTAGCATATGTGCTGATTCCTTAAGTTTACGAATTTTCCAATGGTGTTCCCTGTTTATGATCTCAACATGATCCTACAGAGGGCGGTGATCTCCCTTCTCTCTCCATATGTGATCAGCCACGCCTGATTTTTCTACTTCCTCCGTTACAGCTTTCTGGTGTTCTTGAAGCCTTACCTTGAGGGGGCGGCCTGTTTCTCCTTTATATTCCTTTCCGCAGCTGCATGGGATAGCATACACACAGTATTTAGTCATGTTCTCCTTTATGCGGGGTATTTCTCGGGAGAGATATCTGCGAAGTGACGTCAAGCTTTTGAAGGTTGTCCTGATGTTATATGGACCGTAGATCCTTTGTATTTTCTCTGATAACTCCTTCACATAAGGCAGCAGACTGTTTTCTGAGTGTTGTCCTCCTCCTCTTGTACCTGCCTATGCCATTTTTTGGGGGCTGCTGCCATGTACCCAGGGTAGTTGTTACGTTGTAGGGTACTACTTATACTGACCAATTCTTTATCTAACGTCTCTGGGTCGCCACTTATGACTTTTGCTCGGTGTTGTAAGCAGCGGACGATCCCTTTCTTTACGCTGTATGGATGGTGGGAGTTGAAATTGAGGTACTGTCCGGTGAATGTCGGTTTACAGTATACGGATGTCTTAAACCCATGCTCTGTTCGAGATATTAGAACATCCAGGAATGGGAGTGTGGTGTTATTCTTTTTCTCCATTGTGAACTGTATCGAAGGTCTTATTGAGTCCAGTAGAATCTGAACATCTTCCTGGTATGGTCAGAGTATGAAGGTGTCATCTACGTACCTTAACCATATAGTTGGCTTTAGAGATATAGATTCTAATGCCATTCCCTCAAAGTATTCCATGTATATATTCACCATTGCTGGTGATAATGGCGAGCCCATTGCTAAGCCCTCATCCTGTCGGTATATGTTTGATCCCATTCCGAAGTTTGTTGTTTGTGTACAGAAAGTCAACATCTCCATCAGATTATCTATTGGAATACTGGTCCGTTCTTCTAGGGAAAAGTGCCTCCTCTGTGGGTAACTTGGGGAATAAACTCACCATGTCCAAGCTCACCATCTGGTTGGATAGGATGGGAGCATCTTTGATTATTTCCACAAAGTGGGCGGAGTTTCGGACATATGAAGGAGACTTTCAAGGACACATGGCACAGTGGATAAAGGCGTTGGTTAGATCCAGTGACAGGACCCAAAGAGTTGAGAGTTCAATACCTGGTTAAGGCAGTGGAGAATTGCAGAGGGAAATTTGTAGGAGATATTGATATTCATCAAACATATATAAATGGAACTAGAACATTACCCGGTGAGCAAAATAAAGGGTTCAGTTCGACATTCCAACGACCTGAAGAAGGCGATGTTTGCACAATGGCCAAAACGTTCTGATAAATATGGCGACAAAGATGAGGACAATAGTCCGAATAATGTAAATAATGTACATAATACCTCATCTCAGAAATATAGACAGACTCTGAAATACAAATCTTATAATAAATCATTTCTTTTTCTGCCAGTTTTAGTTAAATAATTGATTATTTTGTCTATTTGCTAATGTTTCCAGTTCTCATTCATGAAATATATCCATTCTCTATATAAACAAAATTCCCAGGCTAATCATAGAATTGAAATTCCACAAGTTTGGGGGACATCATTTAACAGACAGACATGAGCAAGTAGATAGCGGTATCTGAGCAGAGCTAAAAACATGAATGAACAAAAGAACATACATCATAGAATATCAACTTTCTCATCATATACAAATAGGGTTAAGTTTTAATGGGGTTTGTGCCATATGTGACATTTCAGTCCCACTAGTGACCTGTGTTATAATCTTCCTAAACTCAGATCTTCTGATTCATGTCACACAAATTCCCACCTCTGGCCATATATGAACACTCCAAAACTTAAGACTGAACTAAAAATTCTGTCAAGTGCACATCAGCTTAGCACACACATTCCGCTTTCCACACACACCCAAAAAACATACTAGATAATTTTTTTACCAAATAGCAACCACTCCTGCTTAATGAATTAAAATAAAAATTAGAGCTGATCTAAGGCTAGGAAAAGGACATAAAAGCCCATAAGAGGTGACATCTTGTCAGTTGGCCGGCAAATCAAGTGCATCATGGCATCAAGTCATGCCTCCTCACCCTCCCTCTTCTACCATACACCTCTATGGGCGACTTCTCTCTTTCTTTCAAGGAGAAATAGTCACACCCTTTCACCATTCGTTGTATTTTTTGTTAATACAATTATTTATTTCTTAAACCTCCATTGTTTCTTCCTCATTCTGTCACCATATGTTTAATACAACACATGCATTCACTTAGCAAGGTCGATTTCACTGTTTTTAAACTACAATTCTCTAACCGAATTGGTTCCTCTGTGGCTCAATTGGTAAAAGCACATCAGGCTATATGACGGTTATGTATAGGATACAGGTTCAATTCTTGTCAGAGGATGCATATTTTCTATGAAAATTTCTCGGACATTCAGGCAAGTACATGTTGTTAATACTCTTTATTATAAACAGCTTTTACTTAAATATTTGTATCTATAAAAAGAATGTATAAACATAAAAAATGTCTTAAAATAATAAAATAAAAAAAGGACACATGGCACAGTGGATAAAGGCATTGGTTAGAACCAGTGACAGGACCCAAAGAGTGTGAGTTCAATACCCGGTTAAGGCAGTGGAGAACTTGCAGAGGGAAATTAGCAGGAGATGACTGATGACTGACATCCATTAAACATGGCACTAGAACATTTCTTACGTCAAAATGTGAAAGCGAAATAAAGGGTTCAGTTTGACATTCCAACCACCTGAAGAAGGCCAGAGCATAACAATGGCTGAAACGTAATAAATATGTCGACAAAGATGAGGACAATAGTTCGAATAATGTAAATAATACATCATCTCAGATTTTATATATATATATATATATATATATATATATATATATATATATATATATATTTTTGGATCTTAACAGCTTTGTATGTGATACTATATTATAGACAGCTACAGTTCAGTATGTATTTAGGAAGAGCTGGATTTCTCTTTCCCACTTCTCTTAATCTCTTGCTGACCTCCGTACACAACCTGCTACATATACAGCTTGTTAAAGTATTAGATCCTGACTAAAAGATTGCACTCAAGTGTGAAACTGCTAGTCATTATGCAGTCTAGATTCCTGCATCCAGAGTGTTTATACATATGTTATCTTCAATATTAAGTTCTCTTCCTATATATATATATATATATATATATATATATATATATATATATAAACACACACACATACATACACATAAAAAAAAAAATATAGCAAAAAATTGAAATCTCTATTTGTGTTAATTGAATGATTCTCAATTTATGTGCTGTGTAAGCATAATTTGAAACCCTAGAATCGAATCAGTTGGTAGTGAGGCTGGGGAGAATAGTGTTTGTGAATTTTAAACTGACTTACCTAGTGAAGTAACAAAATGTTGGTGAGCATTGAGCGTTTTGTGGTTTCGTTTATTACGAATATCCCACGTTCTGATGGTCTTGTCATCTGAAGCACTCAGAATAAATTTGCCACCAGGGTGGAACACCAAGCCACGAACCCAGTTATCATGGCCGACCTGAAAAAGAAAATGTTGTGTATGATACACCTAATTTACATAAGTGGAGTACCGACCATATAAATATGGGTTGGTACCGGAAGACGACGGAAGATTAAGAGATCGAATCCAGAGACTCTGCCCGACTGCGACTTAGTCAACCCATTCTGCAGGAACAGTCTTCCCAAGAATATACCAAAACTACCTGTAAATATTGTGACCTTTTTTCATTGTTTCAATACATTTTGTTTTACATTTTGTGTTGTATTATTATTATTCCATGCTTATTCAAGCTTCAACAATGGCGACGAGGTATAAAGAACTTTACGTTAAAAAAAAAAAAAAAAATTAATAATTGATAGCCTTCAATAATTGGGACAAGTGGAAGAACCCAGGCTGAAAAAAAAAAATCATTAATTAAAAGTCCAACATCTAATGGAACGGAAAAGTATTCTGAATTTTTGGATATTTAAAACTAGTTAAAGGACGACTAAGCTTAAAGGAACATTCACTCAGAAAAATCTGGAAGAACGTTAATTTGAAAAAAAAAAAAAATTTGAAAAAAAAAAAAAAAACGAATAAAAAAAGAAAAAAAAAAAAAAAAAAAAAAAAAAAAAAAAAAAAAAAGGCCGACTAAAAAAACATGCATGGAATTAAAAGGCGCACAAATACATCGTGTCGACTTTGAAAGGTAACGAACTTTAAAAAAAAAAAAAATTTTTTTTTTTTGGTTGCTCAACAATATTTTATAAAGCAAGACATAAAATAAAAAAGTCGTAAGTTGTTTAGATTTTTTTGTCAGATTATATTATATTCGTGGATAAACAATTTAAAAGTATATTCTTTGTTGCATGAACACTATCAGCAAAAAATGGATGAATTATCCAAAGTCATATCTGAATTATTCAAAGCCCAGCAGTTGAGTCATGCAATTATTCAAAGTGAACAGTTGAGTCTTATTAACAAAGGGAACAACAGATTGCCACATTAAAAATATCAAGAAAAGCAAGAGGAATTACAGAAAAAATATCAAAGAAAAGCAAGAGGAAAGACTGGGAAAACAGGAAGAAATGCAGATCAAGGTTTTAGAAATTCAAAAGTTAACATTGGAGAAATTAAACAACAATCAGGCAAATGAAGGAAATTCTTCATATTCTAATAACATCATATTTAATTCGATTTGGAAACTTTCAACTATGGGCCAGACGAAGAAAAAAACGTTTGAAGCGTACTTTAAACGATATGAAGATATTTTCACACAGACTGTGAAAACTGGTCGAATTCAAGAAAAGTCAGTCTATTACTAAGAAAGCTAGGTACAGCAGAACATAGCAAATTTGTAGATTTTATTTTACCGAGAAGAACAAATGAATTGGAATTCTCGGAAACAGTGAAATTGCTAAAGGAGTTGTTGGGAGCAAATATGTCGCTTTGGCATAAGCGATGGTTATGCATGAATGTCGCTAAATCCGACGATCAGGATTACTTAACATATGCATCTATAGTGAATAGACATTGTGACAATTTCAGATTGGCAGAGATTACGGTTGAAGAATTCAAGTGTTTAATTTTTTGCTCAAGGACTGGTATCCAGTAAAAGTGCCGAAATAAGACGTAGTTTTGTCTAAACTCGAATCTGAACAAAACCTTACCCTACAAAAGTTAGCAGAGGAGTGTCAGCGGGCTGTAAGTTTAAAGAAAAAGTCTCAAAAAATCGAAGAAGCTGGCATTGCTTATATAAAAAAAAAAAAAAAAAGTCAAATTACCCATCAGAAAAAAAAAATTGGATTAAAAATTCGGCGTATTTAAAAAAATAGACAAAAAAAATTAAATGAAAAGAACGAGGAGGAAAAAAAAGGTTCCACCATTTAATTGTAGACGTTGCAATGAAAGACATTGGGAGTTAAATTGCCCATATAGAAATAAAAAATGTTTCGTGTGCCACAAGAATGGTCACAAAGGATCGTGTTGTAAAACGAAAAAAGTCAATAGACGAATTAGACAAACAAATTCAAATATAAAATCAGATAGAGATTTGAGGAAATATGTGACGACTGAAATATTTAAAAAGAATATCAAATTTCAACTCGATTCGGGTTCAGATTTAACAATAATGAACTATAAAACATGGAAAAATTTTAAAAAAAGGCCTACAATAATGAAGTCAACGAAATGCGCTCGAACGGTAACTGGAAAGGAAATTAACTTCGAAGGCGAGGTTGTACTTCCCATGAAATTGAACCGGATATTTAAAAAAAATAAAAGTTTTCATTCTGAAAAATGGAGAAAACTTGATGGGTACAGATTTTATTGAAACATCTGAATTGTGGGATAAACCGTTAAACTCTTTCTGCAGAAAAGTAAAAAGTAATACGCAAACAAGACAGGACATTAAAGATGAATTTAAAAAAAAGTTTCCGGAAACCTTCACACCTGGTCTTGGAAGATGTAACAAGTTTGAAGCCAAATTTAAATTAAAGGAAAATACTATGCCAATTTTTAAAAAGAAACGTAACGTACCTTTCGCAAGTGTAGAGAAAATTAACGAAGAACTTGATAGGTTGGAAAAATGGGAATTATTTCGAAAGTAGAATCTAATTCATGGGCTGCGCCGATTGTGTGCATAAAAAAGAAATCAAACCAAGTCAGAGTCTGCGTTGATTTTTTCGACAGGGTTGAACTCGGTAATTAAGGACTACCATTACCCGTTACCGAGTCTGGAGGAGATTTTTAACAAGCTAAATGGTGGAGTTATATTTTCAAAAATCGACTTATCAGATGCCTATCTCCAAATTCCCGTCGAAGAGGAATGTTCGAAGTTACTAGGGATAAACACGCATAGAGGGTTATTCAAGTACAATAGGCTTCCTTTGTCTATTTGGTACCCTTTCGGGGAGTGGGCGTCGCGTTAGGCACCTTAGCCGGACGTTTTTCATCCAAGCGCCAGTTCTGCGTCATGGCTGAATGATTTAGACTTTGTTTCTGCCGCCGTCGAGACGACAAACTTAGAGAACGACGAGCCATTTTTCATAGCTATGGACGTCATGTTGAATGATTTAGACTTTGCGTGCGCCTTCTTAGACGAACATCGAGGAGCGAAACCGTCGACGAACTCAATCTCAATCAAGTATTTAAAAAGATTCAGGACTTTGGTTTTAAAGTCAAAGAGTCAAAGTGCAAATTTGGTTTGGAGGAAATTAAATATTTAGGGCACATAATCAACAAAAATGGCAGATTTCCAGATCCGGAAAGGTCCATTGCGATTAGAGACATGCCGACGCCCACTAATGTGGCGATGCTACAAAGTTTTCCGGGGCTCGCAAATTATTATCAAGCGTTCATTAAAGGAATGTACAATTTAAGAGCTCCGTTGAATGAACTGCTAAAAAAAAGACAAGGCATGGGAATGGACGGTAGAATGTCAGAAAGCCTTTGATGAAATAAAGAAAATGCTTACGTCCGACCTCTTTTTAACCCATTACAATCCAAAACTGGATATTGTAGTGGCAAGTGACGCCAGTTCATACGGGATAGGAGCGTGTATTCAACACATAATGCCAGACGGTTCTAGAAAACCAATTGCACATGCTTCGAGAACTTTACTCCCAGGAGAAAGAAGTTACTCTCAAATCGAAAAAGAGGCGTTGAGTATCATTTTTGCTATAACAAAATTTCACAGATACATCCACGGCAGACATTTTATGCTTGAAACGGATCATAAACCACTGATCACTATTTTTGGTTCAAAGAAAGAGTTACCCGTTTATACGGCAAATCGTCTGTTGAGATGGGGAACCATTCTTCTCAATTATGATTTTCACATAAAGCACCTATCATCCAAAAAATATAATTCATGCGGATAGTCTATCGAGTCGAGTCAAGAAGAAAGATTCGAAGAATCAATTATTGCAAATATCAGAGCAGATTATGAGGTGAAAAGCATGGTAAACAACATTGTAAGAGAGATACCGGTTAAAAAAGAAGCTGAAAGCGATGATTTCATTTTAGAAATAAAAAGCAAAATGGTAGCAAATGACCAAAAAGTGCAGGAGATTTATTCAATAGGTGAAGGAGTTTTATTATATGGTGAGAGAGTAGTAGTACCAAAAAAGTTGCAGAAAAGAATACTACGGGACTTTCATATGGGTCACCCGGGGGTTAATAGAACAAAAAGCTTAATGCGAAGCTTTGTATATTGGAAAGGAATGGATGTGGATATCGCAAACATGGTTCATCGATGTAAAGGGGGTGCGTTAGCAGCTAAGGCACCACCTATAGTACACAAACCATGGCCCAAGACGGATCATCCGTGGACAAGATTACACATTGATTTCGCTGGTCCAGTAGAAGATTATTACTACTTAATAGTGGTAGATAGTTTTACAAAATGGCCGGAAGTACTACGCTGCAAAAAGCCTACGTCCAATACCACAACAACTTTTTGCATGAACTATTTGCACGGTTCGGTGTGCCAGAGTGTATTGTGAGTGACAATGGTACACAATTCACTTCTGAAGAATTTAAGGAATTTTGTGAGTTATATCAAATTAACCACATAACGACGCCGCCGTATCATCCGAGGTCCAATGGACTCGCAGAAAGATTTGTCGATACTTTAAAGCGCGCTCTGAAGAAAGCCTCAGGAGTTCCAACGGAAAAGACGCTTCAGCAATTCCTACAAGTATACAGAATCACGCCAAACCAGAGAACACATTCAAACATGGCACCAGCTGAACTAATGTTCGCTAGGAAAGTTAAGTCAGTGTTTGACAAACTTTTGCCAGGAAAAAATAGAGTAAAAAATACTATGTATACAGCGAGAAAAAGATACACCTCCGGAGAAAAGGTGTTTTTCAAGTGCTACAAAAACAACGTTGAGTTCTGGGAGCGAGGCATAGTGGACAAGAGAATCGGTGACCTGATTTACATAATTAAAGGGCTGAAGAATACTCATAAAAGGCACCAGAATCAACTTAAAAAATGTTACGTTATAGAGCATGAAGAGAGTATACCGGATGAGG